CCATATGGCATTGTATAAGGGCTAGACATAGGGTCCTGCGAGCCTCAGTAGGTAGACACTGTGCTTGTCTATACAGGAACTTCAGTCTGGCATTCGCTTTCTTTACTACACTGTTCCCTATCAATTCTCCTGACATGCATGGGTCAAAGGGGATTCCCAAATATTTTACTGATGAAACCAAAGTGATGGGCTCCCCATTACATTGAACATTAAAATTATTTACCCTTCTCAGTTTATGTTTCGTGCCAAAGAGAATGGCTTCAGTTTTCCCCAACTCCCTCTCTCCTCCTCCCTATCTTCCAGATGCCATCACCAATCTTCAATAAAGGTAAGTAAAAATGTTATTTTATATTACTATACATAATTAAAGACTATAGCATTTGTTGTATGTAAAACTGTAATTAATCTCTATAAAATTTTTTTTTTTTTGGTGAACATTTTTGGGTTTCTGGAACAGATTAATTGTATTTCCATTATTTCTTATGGGAAATATTGCTTCGAATTTAGAGCTAGCTCCTGGAACGGATTAAGTTTGAAATTTGAGGTTCCACTGTATATTCGTGAGCATAATTTCGTAAATTTTCTGTCAAATTTTGTACTTTTTGTTTTATTACCTTCAGAAAAATTTCTCCACCTACCATTTCATAAGAAAAAATAACAAGCAAATTTTTTGAAAATTCTTGGACCCTGGCTGTCACTTTGAGATTTGGCCTCTGGACCCTGAGGGTTAATGTCACCCTTGCACCATTTATAACATTTTTAGTATAATTTTAAATGTTTATACAGTAGTGTTTTGTATATTGTAATAAACAGAATAGAGGAAATCAGCTCTAATATACATTATTTTGGTATGAATACTGGTCAGAGAGCCCGTCCTAAGTTCGAGGCGTCGGTAAACATGTGTCGCTATGTGAGGAGAGGCTGTATTAATGTAAAGAATACCACATAATTTCTAGATTGTTTAACTGTTTCAGGGTCGACAGGCCCTCTCCCAGACTTGTTCTCAGGGTCCCCAAATTTAAAAAAAAAAAAATATTTTTTCTTATGAAAAGATAGAGAATCTTTTCCTGATCAAAAGTATGAAATTTGATGGAAAACTTAGGGAATTATGCTCTCGCGAAGTTAGCGGTCTCGACGATGTTTACGCATCGGCGATTTTGCCCACTTTGAGCCCTATTTTTGGCCAATTCCAGTGTACTAGTCGACAAAAATCATAACTATTTCGCTAGAACTCCATTTTTTCTATCGAATGAGTACAATAAACCACCCATTTACCGATTTCAACTATCCAATAAAGTGGTCAGAATTTAGCAATTTTGTCAATTTCACACAAATTTCAAAAGATGCCAATTTCCAAATAGGGTCCAGAATAAACAAGAAAGACATTCCTGGCACTAAAATAACATTTCTTCTGTTCATTAGTCACGTCCCCAGGCCCCTCTTACATTTCGTTTGCTTTCCACTTTGAATTTTTATTCTCACAAAAAATAGATTTACTGTTATGCAGACTACTGTATTAGTGTAGAAATGGTATAAATAATATCAGCGCACTTGTGAAAGAATATTAGATTCACCAGTTGATGTGTATTGGATGCGTGGCATGATTTGTTTACTTTTGAACTTTGGCAAAAATTGAAGATTTCTACTAATTTGAGCTCAATTTCAAGGTACTTTTTATTGTGAAACCAATCAAAATCGTCTCAATTTCTGTAATATGTCTTCCATTCTATAAAATGAGACCAGGAAAACTAGAATACAACCATAAATACCATAGGAAAATACACTGCAAAGTTGCTGTTTTAAACCAAAACCACAGTCAGTTTCTTTTTTTTCTCATTACACACTGTGCTGCAGGATTTTTTTATATTGCACACACTGACCACATAGACCTATTCTTTCATATGTAGGCCTACCAGCTTTCTCTTGCTAGATTTTAGGGCGCTAGAATTTATGCGTACTAGTACGTCAAAAACCCTGGCGCATAAGCCGTACTAGTACGTCGGAAGCCCTGAAAGGGTTAAAGAATTTGTTATATTTTTGCAGGTGAGCAAAATGTCATTGATTAACCCCTCGACTGTCGCAAACCGAATCCTGAGGCGTCTCCTGGTGTCGCAAAATTTCCCCCCAAAAATTTTTCTTATGAAATGATAGAGAATCTTTTCCCAATTGTAATGACACCAAAAGAACGAAATTTGATGGAAAACTAACGGAATTACGTTCTCGCGAAGTTAGCGACCTCAGCGATATTTACGAATTGGTGATTTCCCCCACTTTGAGCCCTATTTTCGGCTAATTCCATTGTTCCAGTCAACCAAACTCATGGCTATTTCTTTAGAACTCCATTTTTTTTCTCTCGAATGAGCACAAGAAACTGCCCATTTACCGATTTCAACTACCCAATAATGTGGTGAGAAATTTGCAATTTGGTCAATTTCACGAAAATTAAAAAATATGACAATTTCAAAATAGGGTCCAGAATGAACAATGCAGACATTCCTGGCTCTAAAATAACATTTTCTTTGTTCGTCAGTCATGTCTCCAGGCCCCTGTGATATTACTCTTGCTTTCTATTTTGAATTTTTATTCAAACAAAAAATAGAAGATTTACTGTTATGTAGACTACTGCATTATTGTAATACAGTGGACCCCTGCATAACGATATTAATCCGTTCCTGAGAGCTCATTGTTATGCGAAATTATCGTTATGCGAATGAAATTTCCCCATAAGAAATATGGAAATCAAATTAATCCGTGCAAGACACCCAAAAGTATGAAAAAAAAATTTTTACTACATGAAATATACATTTTCCTACACACAAAGAGAAGGATACATGCACAATAGTAGAGTAGTACATGCACAGTATATATTGTGCATGTACTACTCTACTAAATGAAGAATAAATGACACCTTTATTGAAGATGCAGCAATGACTGATGAGACACTGTGTCATGGGAGTGCCTTTTCCTCCTGAGTGCTGTAGGTCCTGTTTGGCATTTTCTTCCAGAACAGGCCTTATCACACTGTGTATGCCACTACGATTCTTAAATCTCTCAAACCAACCTTTGCTGGCTTTAAATTCACCAACATGAGCACTAGTTCCAGGCGTTTTTCCCTGTTCACCTGGGTGTTAGTCGACTGGTGTGGGTTGCATCCTGGGAGACAAGATTAAGGACCCCAATGGAAATAAGTTAGACAGTCTTCGATGACACTGACTTTTTTGGGTTATCCTAGGGTGGCTAACCCTCTGGGGTTAATTGTTTCTTGGTATTCTCAATAAACCACACCAACAACGGTGCTACAGCAGCAGCAGCAGCTGACAGTGCAGCAGCAGCAGCAGCTGACAGTGCTACAGCAGCAGCAGCAGCTGACAGTGCTACAGCAGCAGCAGCAGCTGACAGTGCTACAGCAGCAGCAGCAGCTGACAGTGCTACAGCAGCAGCATGCACTGACAGTGCTACAAGCAGCCAGCTGACGTGCTACAGCAGCAGCAGCAGCAGCAGCTGACAGTGCTACAGCAGCAGCGACGTGCTACAGCGGAGCTGACAGGCACAGCAGCAGACTGACGGTGCTACAGCAGCAGCAGAAGTGCTACAGCAGCAGCAGACGTGCTACAGCAGACAGACGGTCTACCAGCACGGTGCAAGCAGCATCTGACGGTGCTACAGCGAGCAGCAGCATGACGCTGTACAGTGCACAGCAGCAGCATGCATGCCATGACGCATGGTTGACATGCCACCAGTATTTCGATAACATTTCTCACCCTTTTTACACAGGGTTGGCACTAGAAGATTTCTTGGGGCCCATGGTCACTTATTTTGCAGATAAAATCACCAAAAACGCTGTAATAATACGAAATGTTCCGATTGTATGCTTGGATGTTACCGCGGAGGCTGGCTTGTAAACAATGCCACCGGCGGAACATGTGAGGCTGGCTCAGGCCGCACATTAGACGCGTTTCAGACGAATAGTGTTGAGCGGGTTTTTTAGCGGTATGCGAGGCAAAATCTTAGCGATAAAATGTATCGGTATGCGGATTTAATGTTATGTGATGCCAACGGTATGCGGGGGTCCACTGTACACCTACCATCCGACTTACGACCTGCTTGACTTACGACCACTCGACTTACGACCGTGTTTTTTATGCCAAATTTCTGGGAAATAAACAACTATTTGTGTTGTACACAGTGTTTATCCTAAACCTTACAGTATAAAATACAGTACTAACAGCATAAAAAGTAAAGTAAAACATGAAATACCAAAATAAAACAATAAAATAAAGTCATTACAAAAATATTTTGTTGATATTCAGTAGTAAAGTTCGACTTACGACCATTTCGACTTACAACCGGTTTCTCGGAACCGAACTCGGTCGTTAGTCGGATGGTAGGTGTAATTGTATAAATAATGTCAACTCATTCATGCCTGCATATTAGAATGGCTACTTGGACATTTATTGGAAAATGACATCATTTGTTTACTTTTGAACATCGGCAAAAATCAAACATTTCCCCTACTTTGAGCTCCATTTCAAGGTTCTTTTCATAGTAAAACCAATAATATGTTTTCCATTCTATCAAATGAGACCAAGAAAACGAGAATACAACCATAAATACTATACGAAAATAGACCACAAATTCGGCATTTTAATAAAAAAAACGGTTGGATTTTTTTTTTTCTCACCAAATCCTGCAGCACTGCGTGCTGCAAGATTTTTTTTATATGGTGCACACAGACCCATTCTCTCACATGTGGGCCTACCAGCTTTCTCCTGCTTGATTTGAAGCCGATAGAATTTATGAGCATATATATGTCAAACACGGTGGCTCTTTAAGACGTATGTATACGACCAAAACAGTCAAAGGGTTAAATTATATATAATATTATCCTGTCCTTTAAAATTAGTGTGCATATGTATTTGTGGATGCAGCAACATGTCCAGTGGACGTATATATGTTTTTTTAACATAGTAACAGTTGTGTAATAAGTATGCTTTCTTCAGGCCCGGGATGCAGGTGTGTCCAGGAAACGTTGGTTGATGGTTAATGTTCAAGATTCCAGTGAATTTCCTTGTCAAGTTTTGAATAGAGATGTGTGGTCCAATCCAGCAGTAAAAACCATAATTAAGGAGCACTTCATTTTTTGGCAGGTATACTTGTTTTTCGTTCAAGCAACATGAATCCCAAGGAGCTTATAATGCTGTATTATTTTTTGCTTTAAACTACATAGTGTATAAGGCCTATAGTTACAATTTTTAGGGGTATGTATAGTATGGGAACAATCACTGTTAATGAAAGTTGGTGAAAATTCTAGTAAAATGTATTTCAATAATAATAATGGAAAGACAAGGCATAAGTTTCCTTCACTATGTTGATTCAGTTTGTGTGACTGCTTATATGTAGCCACCTCCTCCTACCAGAAATTTTCTATATGCTGTAAAAAATTTGCTCTTATGTAATCAGAACAAGTTGCTGTGTGCTTTTCACTTGTGATCACTCAAGCCAGGCATCACTTAATTTTTAACATTATCTCTCTCAATATCACCAAACTGGTTTATATTGATACTGCAGTTTGCCAGTACGTATATTGCAGTATGCCTACAGGCATACTCCAGTACTACTCAATCTCAATGCTCTCAAATGAGAGTTAAGTAAAAAAAAAAAAAATAGAAAAGTAACACAAATAAGATAATGAAAATATCTAATCATGACAAAAGTCTGCATGTGCTCTCCACCCTTTCATGGATAACACTGATGGTATTAGGTATTTGAACATACAGTATATGGTGTAGGGAAGGTACTTACGGTAAGAGGGAAGGTGGGTTGTGTTGGAGTACAGTAAGCAGAGTGAGGATGTCATCTTCCCTAGTTTACAATAGCTGATTACTGCAGCTGCCAGACTATCTACTGTTTCCATCTTCAAGACTAATCAATATTTAATTTCATTCCAGTTTAATAATATGAAATGTAAATCATGGTTTCATAGGATTGTGTGAATAATTATTATTTTTCACTTTATATGGTACTGGATGTGAGTAGGGTCTATTGAGAGCTTCTGACATCAGAACTGACCCCATAGAATTTGAAAAAAAGAAATAAACATTACTTGCACATGAAGCACCTGGGCCACATTCATGGAATTTGTGTTTTGTGAAAAAGTGCTAATTACCTCTTGCATATGCACTTGATGTTCTTTGATATTGCACTGAGACATAGCTCCTCTTCATAAAAAAGTCATTAATATTATTATTACTCAAAATCATAATAACACAATAGCAAACAAATCAGTGGGGCTTGAACCCATGATAAGCAAGCCCTAAAACTCTCCAGCCTAGCAGATAGCTAGGCTGGAGAAAGTAATTTAGCAGTTTTGATATTGTAAGATATGCTTTATCATATAAGAAAAAGAGTTATAAAAAGACAAAGCACAAGCAAATATAAACAAAATGGGGAAAACACTGTATACTTGTAAGCTAAAAATTGTGCAGACTACCAATGGTCCTGCAGTGACTGTAGCTAAAGAAAAGTAGCCTCCACATATTGTACCATTGATGTAATTGTATTGTATACATCATCACTGTGACCTCAAACTTTCCTTTAATTTCTCTATTTATGTTCATTTTAAATGTTTACTATGCAGTAAGTTAATTTCACATTGGGAATAGCTGAAGGGAAGAAAGGATTGACAGATGTTAACTATGAATGTATGGAGTGGGACAAAATGTGATGTGCTGTGATGGGTAAGTGGTATTCATTTTTGTTTTCAAGAAATTAGTGGTTTTTATGAAATTTATCCAATATTTGTCATCTATTAATACAAAGTATTTATGCCCACCCTGACTTACCAGTAACTGGACAGGAGTCACTCTGCTTGGTTGTAAAAGAATTCTTGTTAGTGAGCCAGCAACAAATGTCTTTGTTACAGTTCAAATCTGTTATAGTATATGTTGCAATATAAAAGACCTTAACCCAAGTTTAAAAAAAAAAGTCATCCATTCCAGTAAATTTTAGGGTATTCTTGGATGGTTTATCTGTTAAATTGGTATCACTAATTATGATAGTTATTTCAGGTTTATCATGATAGTGAGGAAGGTCAGCGATACATGATGTTCTATCAAGTGTCAGAGTGGCCACATGTAGCAGTACTGGATCCCAGGACTGGAGAGTGTTTAGTCACCTGGAACAAACTAGATGCTGTCACGTTTTGTGACCTGGTCACTGAGTTCTTGTCTGCACACCCAGGTTTAGATGAGAACTCGGCACCACCACCACCAAAGAAACCAAAATTGGTTTGTAACTTTTTTTTTCAGTTTCAGTTGAGTGTAGTGCTTATTCTTAAATTTTTTTTTTCAACAAACCAGCCGTATCCCACCAAGGCAGGGTGGCCCAAAAAGAAAAACGAAAGTTTCTCTTTTTAAATTTAATAATTTATTCAGGAGAAGGGGTTACTAGCCCCTTGCTCCTGGCATTTTAGTCGCCTCTTAAAACACACATACCTTACGGAGGAAGAACTCTGTTCCACTTCCCCATGGAGATAAGAGGAAATAAACAAGAGCTAGTAAGAAAATAGAAGAAAACCCAGAGGGGTGTGTCTATGCTTGTACATGTATGTGTAGTGTGACCTTAGTGTGAGTAGAAGTAGCAAGACTTACCTGAAACCTTGCATGTTCATGAGACAGAAAAATGGACACCAGCAATCCTACCATCATGTAAAACAATTACAGGCTTTCGTTTTACACTCACTTGGCAGGACGGTAGTACCTCCCTGGGTGGTTGCTGTCTACCAGCCTACTACCTATTTTTTTTTTTCTTCAACAAACCAGCCGTATCCCACCAAGGCAGGGTGGCCCAGAAAAGAAAAAGAAAGTCTTTCTTTTTAAATTTAGTAATTTATATGGGAGAAGGGGTTACTAGTCCCTTGCTCCCGGCATTTTAGCCGCCTCTTGCAACACCTATGGCTTATGGAGGAAGAATTCTGTTCGACTTCCCCATGGAGATAAGAGGAAATAAACAAGAACAAGAACTAGAAAGAAAATAGAAGAAACCCCAGAGGGGTGTGTATATATATATATATATGCTTGTACATGTATGTAGTTCTCCATGGGGAAGTGGAATAGAATTCTTCCTCCGTAAGCCATGCGTGTTGTAAGAGGCGACTAAAATGCCGGGAGCAAGGGGCTAGTAACCTCTTCTCCTGTATATATTACTAAATGTAAAAGGAGAAACTTTCGTTTTTCCTTTTGGGCCACCCTGCCTTGGTGGGATACGGCCGATGTGTTGAAAGAAAGAAAGAAAGACGTGTATGTAGTAGGTAGGTAGTAGGTTGGTAGACAGCAACCACCCAGGGAGGTACTACCGTCCTGCCAAGTGAGTGTAAAACGAAAGCCTGTAATTGTTTTTCATGATGGTAGGATTGCTGGTGTCTTTTGTCTGTCTCATAAATATGCAAGATTACAGGCATGTCTTGCTACTTCTACTTACACTTAGGTCACACTACACATACATGTACACGTTTATTTATACACACTCATCTGAGTTTTCTTAGATTTTATCTTAATAGTTCTTGGTCTTATTACTTTTCCCTTTTTTATCCATGGGGAAATGGAATAAGAATCTTTCCTCCCTAAGCCTTTCGTGTTGTAAAAGTCAAAATAAAATGCCGGGAACAATGGGCTAGTAACCCCCTTTTCCTGTAAAGATTACTAAAAAGAATAAGAAGAAGAAAATTGTCAAAGTGGGAAGTCTGTGCATGGATGTTGTGCAAATGATAAGAAAGAGATGATTGTGGATGTTATGAATGAGAAGAAACTGGATGTCCTGGCCTTAAGTGAAACAAAGCTGAAGGGGGTGGGAGAGTTTCAATGGAGAGGAATAATGGAATTAGGTCAGGGGTTTCAAATAGAGTTAGAGCTAAAGAAGGAGTAGCAATAATGTTGAAGGATAAGCTATGGTAGGAAAAGAGGGACTACAAATGTATAAATTCAAGGATTATGTGGAGTAAAAAAGATTGGATGTGAAAAGTGGGTTTATAGTAAGCGTGTATGCACCTGGAGAAGAGAGAAGTGTAGAGGAGAGAGAGAGATTCTGGGAAATGTTGAGTGAATGCGTGGGGAGTTTTGAATCAAGTGTGAGAGTAATGGTGGTTGGGGATTTCAATGCTAAAGTGGGTAAAAATGTTATGGAGGGAGCAGTAGGTAAATTTGGGGTGCCAGGGGTAAATGTAAATGGGGAGCCTTTAACCCTTTGAGGGTCCATCCCGTAGATCTACGGCTTTACGTTCAGGGTCCAAACCGTAGATCTACCTCATGAGCTCAGCTCACTCTGATAAACTGTGAGTGGTACATTTGGGCCTAGATATGAGAGAATACATCTATGTGGTATGTGTGCACCACATAAAACAGATCCTGCAGCACGCTGTGTATAATGAGAGAAAAAAACTGAAATCATGATTTTTCGATTAAAACAGTGACTTTGCAGTGTTTTTTCGTATGTTTTTTATAGTTCTATTTGCGATTTCTTGGTCTCATTTGATAGAATGGAAGACATATTACAGAAATAGAGATGATTTTGATTGGTTTTAGCACTGGAAATGGCTTGAAACTGAGCTCAAAGTAGCAGAATCTTAAATTTTTGCCGATATTCAAGAGTAAACAAACGACCTCACACGTCTAATACACGCCAGCTGGTGGGTCTAATATGCATTCACAAATATGGTGATGATATTTATACAATTATTACAGTATTGCATAACAGTAAATCTTCTATTTTTTGGTGTGAATAAAAATTCATTATGCGAATAAAAAATCAAAATGGAATTTATTTGTAAAGCCTCAAAACGTAACTAATGAACAGAAGAAGTGTTAGTTTAGTTCCAGGAATAGCTACATTGTTTATTCTGGACCCTATTTTGAAATTGGAATATTTTGAACTTTGTGTTAAATTGGCCAAATTAACAATTTCCGATCACTTTAATTTGTAGTTGAAACAGTTAACTTGGCAATTTCTTGTGCTCAATCGATAGAATAGAAGTAATACTAGTGAAATAGCTAAGAATTTGGTTGACTGGAATAATGTAATTGGCCTAAAATGGGAGTCAAAGTCGGCAAAATCGCCGATTCGTAAATATCCTGACACATCAAAATTCGCGAGAGCATAATTTTGTCAATTTTCCATCAAATTTCGTACTTTTCATTTTATTACCTTCACAAAAAGATTCTCTACTATTTCATAAGAAAAAATAACAAATTTTTTTTTTTAAAATTCTTGGACACTGGGGCACCACTTCAAATTTGGGCCTTGGACCCTGAAGGGGTTAATTGAGCTATGTGTAGAAAGAAATTTGGTAATAAGTAATACATATTTTATGAAAAAGAGGATAAATAAATATACAAGATATGATGTAGCACGTAATGAAAGTAGTTTGTTAGATTATGTATTGGTGGATAAAAGGTTGATGGGTAGGCTCCAGGATGTACATGTTTATAGAGGGGCAACTGATATATCGGATCATTATTTAGTTGTAGCTACAGTTAGAGTAAGAGGTAGATGGGAAAAGAGGAAGGTGGCAACAACAAGAGGGAGGTGAAAGTGTATAAACTAAGGGAGGAGGAAGTTCGCGCGAGATATAAGCGACTATTGGCAGAAGGTGGGCTAGTGCAAAGATGAGTAATGGGGGGGTTGAAGAGGGTTGGAATAGTTTTAAAAAATGCAGTATTAGAATGTGGGGCAGAAGTTTGTGGTTACAGGAGGGTGGGGGCAGGAGGAAAGAGGAGTGATTGGTGGAATGATGAAGTAAAGGGTGTGATAAAAGAGAAAAAGGTAGCTTACGAGAGGTTTTACAAAGCAGAAGTGTTATAAGAAGAGCAGAGTATATGGAGAGTAAAAGAAAAGTGAAGAGAGTGGTGAGAGAGTGCAAAAGGAGAGCAGATGAAAGAGTGGGAGAGGCACTGTCAAGAAATTTTAATGAAAATAAGAAAAAATTTTGGAGTGAGTTAAACAAGTTAAGAAAGCCTAGGGAAAGTATGGATTTGTCAGTTAAAAACAGAGTAGGGGAGTTAGTAAATGGGGAGAGGGAAAGTATTAGGTAGATGGCAAGAATATTTTGAGGAACTTTTAAATGTTGAGGAAGAAAGGGAGGCGGTAATTTCATGCGCTGGCCAGGGAGGTATACCATCTTTTAGGAGTGAAGAAGAGCAGAATGTAAGTGTGGTGGAGGTACGTGAGGCATTACGTAGAATGAAAGGGGGTAAAGCAGCTGGAACTGATGGGATCATGACAGAAATGTTAAAAGCAGGGGGGATATAGTGTTGGAGTGGTTGGTACTTTGTTTAATAAATGTATGAAAGAGGGGAAGGTACCTAGGATTGGCGGAGAGCATGTATAGTCCCTTTATATAAAGGGAAAGGGGACAAAAGAGATTGTAAAAATTATAGAGGACTAAGTTTACTGAGTATACCAGGAAAAGTATACGGTAGGGTTATAATTGAAAGAATTAGAGGTAAGACAGAATGTAGGATTGCGGATGAGCAGGGAGGCTTCAGAGTGGGTAGGGGATGTGTAGATCAAGTGTGTACATTGAAGCATATATGTGAACAGTATTTAGATAAAGGTAGGGAAGTTTTTATTGCATTTATGGATTTAGAAAAGGCATGTGATAGTGGATAGAGGAGCAATGTGGCAGATGTTGCAAGTATATGGAATAGGTGGTAAGTTACTAAATGCTGTAAAGAGCTTTTATGAGGATAGTGAGGCTCAGGTTAGGGTGTGTAGAAGAGAGGGAGAAAACTTCCCGGTAAAAGTAGGTCTTAGACAGGGATGTGTAAGGTCACCATGGTTTTTTAATATATTTATAGATGGGGTTGTAAAAGAAGTAAATGCTAGGGTGTTCGGGAGAGGGGTGGGATTAAATTATGGGGAATCAAATTCAAAATGGGAATTGACAGTTACTTTTTGCTGATGATACTGTGCTTATGGGAGATTCTAAAGAAAAATTGCAAAGGTTAGTGGATGAGTTTGAGAATGTGTGTAAAGATAGAAAGTTGAAAGTGAACATAGAAAAGAGTATGTTGATGAGGGTATCAAATGATTTAGATAAAGAAAAATTGGATATCAAATTGGGGAGGAGGAGTATGGAAGAAGTGAATGTTTTCAGATACTTGGGAGTTGACGTGTCGGCGGATGGATTTATGAAGGATGAGGTTAATCATAGAATTGATGAGGGAAAAAAAGGGTTTGAGTGGTGCGTTGAGGTATATGTGGAGTCAAAAAACGTTATCTATGGAGGCAAAGA